TAAAACGATCAACTGCACATACCTCTGCTGAATCGTAACTTGAACGTGGTCTCGCGATTCATACGCCCACAGTGGGTTATGATTGGTCGACAGACAGGGTCAAATCTGATTGGCTAAAGAGTACGAGTGTGCCGCGTGGGAGGAGTTCGCTGCCAGGAAAGTCAAAAATACACACACAAATCCAAGGCCATTGACAGTCAGCCCATGATAAACTCGTGAATTTTAAACATTTAAAAATTGTGTACACAGTTGTACATCTGTGAATTGTGTTTTGCATTTGTGAAACATATTTTATGAATATATATTCTTATTTCGTGCACGTGCATTATTTCTCATGCATGTGAATTGGGTTACGCATGTGTGCATCGCGTCTTTTGCGTGAATTATTATTGAGATACCCGCACTTGCGGTCTTTGCACTTGACCACTTGACTACTCATATGACGTATTTCCTATATTTGGCCCAAGTGAGGAGTCCAAATACCCACACTTGTGGTCTTTGCACTTGACCACTTGACTACTTATATGACGTATTTCCTGTATTTGGCCCAAGTCCACAAGTGAGGATGTGAGGAGTAAGTGAGGATGAAGACCACAAGTGTGTGTTGAACTTTTCATCACCTGATGGAACACACTTATAGTGTTGTAAAAATGCAAGTGTTTACATAGCTTTATTTTTATTTTCAATACTTTGCATTATAAAATCAACTTCTAAATGTCTGTTCAGTGTCTCTATAACATGACAATTTAATTTTGTGGTGCTTCTAATTAAGTGATAAAAAAGCAGTTGCAAATGTTGTACAAAATAAATATCAACACTACTCATCTGCACCAATAAAATGTGCAACCCTTTGTTTTACTACCAAATTATATGTAATATCTAATTATCATTTATATTTAACATACATTGGAAAGGTTTCCGTGACCTCTCGCGAGATCTCTGCAAAAAGTCTCACGATTTATTTCCAGAACATGATGCATGATGGGATACACTAAGCCTCGAATAGCGCTCCGGAGCAGTATTCGTGATAGTGTGGGTTTAGTGTGTGTTAAGGGCACTGCGCTCTGGCGTTTTTAAGATCTGGGACAGTCTTGTGCACTTACTTCCTGTCGCTCGCACGCGCTCTCGAGTGGCCAAGACCACAAGTGTGGGTATTTGGCCAAGGCATAAGTCTCTCACACACAAACACTTAAAACACACACACACACACACAACACATAAACACACACAACACATAAACACACTTAACACACACACACACACAACACAAACACACTTAACACACACTTAACAACACAAACACACACACAAACACACTTAACACACACACACAACACAAACACACTCACTTAACACACACACACACACACACACACACACTTAACACATAAACACACATACTTAACACACACACACTCAACACATTTTATAAAGTTGTGTATAGTTTTGACAAAAGTGTTCCATTTTGCAAATGATCTTAAGTGTTGTGCTACTTTGGTGTAGGGTTGTGTTAATTGTGTGTAGTGTTTTGACAAACCGGGCCCTGTTTTCAAAATTGTGCTTAAGCAATCGTAAAAAACTGTAACACATAAACACACACACACACTCAAACAAACACACACACACACACTCTTAACACACACTTAACACACAAACACACACTTAACACAAACACACAAACTTAACACAAACACACACACAAACAAACACACACACACACACTTAACACAAACACACACTCAAACAAACACACACTTAACACATAAACACACACACACACACACACTTAACACACAAACACACACTCAAACAAACACACACACTTAACACACAAACACACACAAACTTAACACGAACGAACACACACTTAACACACACACACTTAACCCGTACACATAAACACACACACTCAAACAAACACACACACACACTTAAGACATAAACACACACACACACTCACTTAACACATAAACACACACACTTAACACATAAACACACACTCACTTAATACATAAACACACACACACTCACTTAACACATAAACACACACACTTAACACGTAAACACACACACACATACACACACTTAACACACACTCACTTAACACATAAACACACACACACTCTTAACACAAAAACACACACACTTAACACACACACACACTTAACCCGTGAACACACTCAAACACACACACACACACTTAACACACACTCACTTAACACA